AGGGACGGTTGGCGCATATTTGAAGTTACAGCGATGCCAACAGTTGATCGCTATGTGTCCTGTTTTTCCGCAGATTTGGCAAGTGGGTTTTGTATTTGTTGTCGTGGATGTCTGCGGCTGTGGGGGAGTCGGAGCTGAGAGATAATTATTGCCAGATTTTGCCTTATGGTAGCGCTTTTGTTGCCTGCCTTTTTGAGTGTTGTATTGATTTGTATAAAAGGCATTTTGATCGGTTGTAGTCTATCTTTGATTTTCTTGAGTTATATGGATCTCTTCACTGCATAAGAGAGAATATAAAGAATCTAAATCAGCGGGTAGAGGGGAAGTTCGTATGTACGTCTTGAAGGAGTTGTAGGTAGCCGGTAGCCCGTTTAGAATGTAGTGAACAATGTCCTCGGGATCGATCTTGGATCCAGACGCCGCTATGTTATCAACGATGTTCTTTATCTGAGTAAGATACTGTTGCATCGTTAGATTCTTTAGTTGTATGTGATGTAATTCGTTCTTGAGCTGAATGACTCGAGAACGGCTTGTAGGTTGCAGGCGACGTTCAAGCGTCGTCCAGATTTCTTGCGCAGTGGTGGCGGTGATGACATATGGTAGAATGCTTGGTGAGATCGTTGCGAAGAGAGCCGACATTAAGTTGCTGTCAATGAGCGTCCAGCCAGCGTGCTCTGCCGATTTTCCATCAGACGGAGGAGGTTCTGCTCCAGTTAGATGTCCGGCGTATTTGTTTTCCGTGACCTGCTGAAGAACTTGAATCTGCCAGATAGCATAGTTGTCGATCGTGAGGGGGTGTGGGATGAGATTCTTGATGTTTGAGATAAGGAATTTAAGAGTCGTCGGAATGCTTATCTCTGGTTGAGTGCTACCGGGCTGAATGGAGGAGGATGGAGGGAGGGAAGAAGAAGAGTCTTGATCTCCCATCTAGTCTCTGATACCATGTAGGAACTGGCGTGTAAGAGCCAGAACTCACGGATCGGTTTAGGGAGAAAAGACAAGAGCAAGAAAGGGGAAAAGAGAATCTTGTTCAATACCGAGATGATTACAGTGATCCTATAAATAGACTATTGCTGGTAAAGATGTAAATATTCTAATACAGGTTAATGCTAATACATTGGTCGCTAACACTCTTGCCTGGCTTTAATCTCCTAACTGTCAATCAACACTAATGTCACTCATCTCTCATTGTTTCTCCAATATTTTTTGCTATATTTATAAGAGTTCAAATAACATTTCTTGATGTTGTAATACCGTCATATCTCATTAGGAAAAAAAATATAGCAAAATATAGGCATCTCGACCTCCTCACAAAGTCCGCATTTTGAGAAAATTTGTAATGCTGACATTTGATGGCGTCCTTGATGTTGTAATACTCAAACGAAGTCCGACCGCGAAACGAACTTCGCCACTGCGTTTAGGACATCCTAAATACCTAAGGATGATAGCCAATTTATTCAAATTAAAACCTGTGAGAAGGTTGACACTCATCTCATGTCAAATCACACATTTTGAGGAAAATGGTGCTCGGCAATACCCAAATAACATCCAATTGACAAACGGACTTCGTCATTGTGTTCAGAACACCGTTAATACTCTAAATACACTACTAATTTGTTCAATTGAGGTTGCGCACATAAATCAATTTGGTTCAAAAGCAACAACATGCATTTTGAGGAAATTAGACCTCGGTGTCGCCCAAACAATGCCCAATCGCAAAACAGACGACGTCGTTGCGCCCCGAACATCAATATTACCCTAAATCACATATTAATTTGTATAATTTTGATATTCGACAAATTCAACACGTTGAACTAGACAGTCGGCATGTAAATCGAAGAATTACGTAAACCAACCGAGGCGGCTTTTGGCTTGATTAATGTTGTTTCGTCAATAAAAATTAATGCATCCGATGACATATCACCAATTTGACCGTTATCTTATAAAATTTTATTAAAATATCAAAACCAAGAGAGAAGAAAAAGTCAAATGCATTAAATGAGATACCTTGTTCTGTCGAAATCCAAGTCTTCTCGCCGGTCACCTTTAGGAGAAATTATTGTGTACGCAATCCGAACGTGTTCGGATGTGCGTACACACTGCTTATTTTGTTGCGTATTTTTTGAGACATAATTTTTTCGTGGCAAATAAATAGTAAATAAATAATACTCACTAAATACACAAAAAATAGGTAGAAAACATAATTTATCAAAAAATAAGCAGTGAAATAAGCAGTAAATATGTAGCATCCGAACACAATTCTGCGTTCGGATTGCGTACACACTTACAACCTTTACAACCTCTTGCTTTTTTATTTTTATTTTTTTTTTTTAATCACCACACCTGCTGCTTTGCTTTTGTTTTATTGTGTTTTGTTTTGTATTTATTGGGGGTGGGCTTGCTGTTAAAACGAGTACTCTCTGGTTTTCCACTCCTCACCACTAAAAAGGCCCATAATCAAGCCAATTTCTGTCTCCTCAAAACTCCAGTCCATAATCATTTCAATATAGCCCACCACTCATATCCTCACCAACAGTCCATTGTATAAATCAGCCCAGTTCACATGAAATCTACCTCAAAAGCCCACTGGCTCTACATTACGATCACATTTCAATATATAAAAGAAAGGGTGTCAAAATAAGTTTTCGAATTAGATTTAAGTCTAACCTGGAATTGACCTGATTTCAACTCGCCTGACTTGAACCCAACACTGCCCCAACTCGACCTGACCCCGTCCCTACCCGCTGACCCAGTTAAGTGATAGGGGAGACAAAGCGGGATCATGTGAGCAGGCAAGTGTGAGCAAATGAGCGGTCGAGATAAATGAATTGCAGGTTGCTTTTAGGTTTTCGAGTTGACCCGAACTAGACCCGTTTCCAAATAGATTGACCCATGCCAGAAAGTTTCTGGTTGGATTTTTGGGTCGTATCAAATATTGACACATCTACCAAATTGAACGGTCTGAGCTTGGCTTATGAAAGCTGATAGTCTCGTCCAATTATTGAGCCCTCTGGATTGATTTTATCATGTATTTTCTTTTGATTCTTTGACTCTTGTTCTGGTTCTTTTATTTTTAATATATGTTTTGTTTTGGAAAAAAAAAGACACTTAATTAAATTAATTTAGTGACTCAAGTGTGGGAGTGTAGTAGGAGGCCAAACAATTGGCTAGGGAGTGTGGAAATGGTTAGTCATACATGAAAGAGTGGTTAATTAAGGTGGTTACTAGTGTGAGCCACCCCTCCTTTCCCTCATCTTTTTTTAATTTCAAATTTATCTTGTGAAACTTATATGAGTACTTAATTGGTTGTGAAATGAAGGATATTGGTGTGTTTGTGGACTTAATTTTAAACAAAAAATAAGTTTGCTGAAGCTTGGTGGCCAACCAAACTAGGCAGGGTTGATTGATCCTTCCTAGGACTACCTAATACTTGAGTGAGTAGTAGGATTTATCTTGCTTTATTTTTCCTAATTTTTTTCTTTTATGTTTTCAGAATTTGGCTCTTAACAAAACACAATGAAGAAAAAGAATTCATACAGTCAACCCCACATAGTGGAATAAAGGTTTAATGTTATTATTGTTGTTGTAGTCATTCCTCGCTTCAAAATTTTACCTAATCCACCATTTGAGGCCTTTTGTGAGAATTGGCTAAATTGACCTAGTTTTAGTTTTCCTTCAACTGGGTAACTAAACTCTAAAATTTTCCAAAAACTCTATATCCATTGTAGATATCATAAAATTTGATGTCTCTACATTTATTTGGGGTTCTTATTTGCTAAATTCCAAATTTCGTGAAGCCCAAAATCACTTATAACTTCCGTCGGTCCAATTGGAAAATTTGCTCATCTCAATGTAGGTTACATTTTTCCTATTTCAGATTTCGATAGTTTTGTATTTTCTATATTTTTTAATTACATTAATATTTCCATTACAAGAAAATGAGGATAACTTTGTTTTGATAAAACTTTTACCGCATAATTTCTTATATAGATTATAATTACGAATATAATAAAAAAATAAAAAAAATGATTACGAATATTTTGAGTATATTCTAAGAATTTTTCGTCTAGTGATTTTGAAAAAGCAGCGATTTTTGTCAACTCAAAATGTTATTTTGACACCCAAAAGTAGTGTTTCAACTCAATTAAAGCTTTATAATGATGTTTAACACAATCTCTAATAATTTAGTTATGTTTAAAAATTATGAATTCTTTCTAAGGAGAATTTTTATTGTCTACCATTACGACATTTTTTTTTTAATTTCTGAATTGAATCCAATTATGCTTTAATTAATGAAATGTGTTGAAAAATATATTGAGAAGTGTTGTGATGTGAAGCCGGTGCCAGTGGACGGTCGAAATGAGATTTTGTTATGCTGATTTCAGCGGGATTCTGTTATTTAAGCAATTTTGAGCTTGTTGGATTTGTTTTATTGAGTCGCATGATTTGATTACAAGCACGTCAAATTTGGAGGTCATTTAATCCTTCAATTAATATCCATAAATTTTCAATTATATTTCAAGTGCTTGATTTGAGGTCATTCAAATTCGAATGTCTCATTGAGACATTCAATCGACTATAAATTTTCTTAAATCCGAGTTTACATGGACTTGAATTTGATTTTATAACTTTTTAATTCAAGCATACATCAAGATTCTTGAATTAAATTTATGTATATCATGACCTCAATCACAATGGAATATTTTTTTCATGAGTTAAATTAATTTTATAATTTTTAATTATAAATTATAATCAAATTTAAATAAGAAGGAGCTCAACTATTTAGTTGGCTCATATTTATATATAATCATAATTAAGATCATGCTAATATTTAACTAATAAATAAATAAATAAAATCAATTAAATTAATTATTCAGCCAAACACAAAATTTTATTTATAGGCCTATTATTAGGAAAAAAACAGTAAAAGGTTGGCTATTGAAGTATTCGGAAATCCGCATTCGTTAACGCAGTTCTAATAGCTTCATCAGTTGCCGCATTCGTTAACGCAGTTCTAATAGCTTCATCAGTTGCGCTGTTTGATTTGTTCTACGAAGTGTCTGCATACGAGAGAAAGAGAGAGAAGAAAGCGAGCACAGTAAAGCTATGGCGGAGGAAGAGAAGATCCCCCTTCTGAAACCCTACAAAATGGGCAAATTTCATCTCTCTCACAGGTCCGGACTTCTTAATTTGGTCTGTTTTTTTTACTTTACCTGCATTGAAGGAGAGATTGAGAATCCTTTTCTTTCTATCCAATCTTTTACATGTTTTTTATTGTTAGAGCTTAGCCTCTCGATCAAATGTTCTGTTGATATCAGAACTGTAATATGTTTACGAATTCAATGAGATTGATTGCTATATTTGTAAATAATTTTCAGAATAGTATTGGCACCACTAACAAGGTCAAGATCCTATGGGAATGTCCCACAACCTCATGCCATCCTCTATTACTCTCAGAGGACAACAAAGGGAGGGCTTTTAATAGCTGAAGCTACAGGCGTTTCTGATACTGCTCAAGGGTAAATGTCAATTTAATTTGTTGTTATTTAATTAATTTGATTGAATTTTTATTTTTTTTTTCAATTTGTTGCAGCAATATAAATTGATTAGTGTGCTAAATTTAATAATTTTGCATGAATTTAGTTACCCAAACACTCCAGGAATATGGACCAAAGAACAGGTAGAGGCCTGGAAACCTATTGTTAAGGCAGTGCATGACAAGGGCGGCATCTTCTTTTGCCAAATAAGCCATGCTGGAAGAGTCTCCAATTATGGTACTTACTTGAACCCTTGTAATAACAACTACTGATTCCTTTGTGCAGTTGTTCTACATGTTTAGGCTTCATTTGGAACATCATTCTTACTGCTTTCTAAAATAGCTTTAGAAAACAGTAAGGAATCTGTCGCAAATGAAGCCTTACACTCTGATTGGAAATTGGGGGAAGAAAAGGAAAGATTTGGAATGAGAGAAATAAAGAGAAAGGAAATGATGCCAATTATATATTCTTGCATTCTCATATTAACACTCCGAATCAAGAGAAGAGAAAGTAAAACTTGCTTATGCATTCATTTCTTCCATTTCTTCTCTACGGTCTCTAAGGATTAGTTTGCATTATACAGACTTTGGTGCACCTGAGATCTTTTTGAGTTGTCCAACCTAATATTTTCTCCTTGTAGAAACCTTGTAATACATGTTATAAGCACATGTATTTGAGAGATTTTTCTAATATCATTTTAATTATAGATTACCAACCAAATGGACAAGCACCTATATCGAGTACTCATAAGATGATCCCTCCCCAGAAACAACTTGACGACACCATGATAGAGTTCTCTCCACCACGATGCATGACGATTGAAGAGATCCCTCTAATTATTAATGATTTCAAACTTGCGGCAAGAAATGCGATCGAGGCTGGTATGTGTGTGTGTAAATAACACAAACTAATTCTTCTATTAGTTTTTAAAATTCATATGCATTTATTTGCTTATATCCATATGGCGATGTTATTTCTAGGCTTTGATGGGGTTGAGATCCATGGTGCACATGGTTACATATTAGAACAATTTATGAAGGATAGTGCAAATGATAGGACTGATGAATATGGTGGAAGCTTGGAAAACCGTTGTAGATTCGCCCTCGAAATTGTCAATGCAGTCATTGACGAGATCGGCGCCGAACGTGTGGGCATTCGACTCTCTCCTTTTGCTGATTACAATGAATGTTGGGACTCAAATCCAGAGGAATTAGGGCTTTACATGGTGCAATCACTGAACAAGTATGGCATTCTATATTGCCACATGATTGAGGGAAGAATGTTAATTGTTGATGATAGAAGGCAGATTCCTCTCCACTTGCTTCCTATGAGAAAGGCTTTCAATGGTACTTTTATTGTTGCAAGAGGATTTGATAGAGATGAAGGTAATAAGGCGGTGGCTGAGGGTTATACTGATTTAGTTGCATATGGGCGGTTGTTCTTAGCTAATCCAGATTTGCCAAGAAGATTTGAGCTGAATTCTCCTCTCAATAAATACAACAAATTCACCCTCTACAGTGCAGATCCAATTGTTGGCTATACGGATTATCCTTTTCTTGAGGACTAAAAATATTCTCAATATTTGAATAAAAGAGTACATCTAATGTGAGCATTTAACCTAGTTGTTGGCTATAAAAGCCACCAGTAGAGAAATCGGGCCGTGTTGTTGGTATTAACTATTATATTTGCTTTTGTATACTCTCTTTATTCTTCAACAATAAAGAAGGGATGATCTTTGTATCATTTGCTACATAGTGGGTTAGACCCCGTGATTTTTTCCCTTTTGAATTTTTCACGTGAAAAATTCTTTGGTCTTATTGCTTTCATTGTACACATTGAATCTTTGTATAATACTGAGAAGTAAAAATATACACTCTACCAACTCAAATTTTCTAGCACGCAATAATTATAATGGGAGTTTCTTCTCTATTATTTTAGTAAAATTTACTGTCTTGGATAGAATTTTCTAATCCTCCTCTACTTGGTTGACATCATATTATAGCTCCAAAATCTAGAACTTCTCATCCCTCTTAACCTTCTTTCACTACATTAGTAACCATTATGAGGCAATAGAGATTTCAGTTGCCTTAGAAAATGAATAGACCTGAAAAAAATACTTTTTTTTTTGTTTTTTTTTTTTTTTCTTATTCATGGAAAGGTTGGAGTAGCTCCAATAGAAAATAAAATTATAGAGAGTCTTCTTGGATGTTTTGATCACATAGAATGGCAGCCTTCCGATGACTCGATTAAAAAAGTAGATGTATTAGATATGACTAATGTTAAGAAAGATAGAGGTAGATGTATTAGAGGTAGACCTAAAAAGTAGATGTATTAGATTTGACTAATGTTAAGAAAGATAGAGGTAGACCTAAAAAAAATGGCTAAAAATATTAGAAATGACATTTCTTTATTAGATTAAATGGAGAAAGGGATCAAAACTCTTTGTGAGGAACAAAATAATCTCCAACTCTTTTGAGGAACCAATTTGATCCCTCAACTCTTAAAAATAAGATTTTTTTTTTTTTTATTCTAACATCCAATGTTGGAGTTAATGGTGTTAAATATAAGGATATTTTGATCATTTTAATTAAACCTTTATTAAATATATTTTCAAATAATCAAAATTTTTCAAAAAATTTTTATCAAACATTTCTTTAATAAAAAAAAGATAATTTTAGTTTTAAATTCAAAAATTTTAATCATATTTTATAAAATATGATATTTATTAATTTAGAGAAATCAAATACAAATATATATTATTTTCAATTTAGTCATACATATTTTTAACAATCATATTTTATAAAATATGGCAAAAATTTTAAATAAAAATTAAAATTATTATTATTTTTTTATTAAATAATTAATAAATATTTATTTAAAAAATAATAAAAATACCCTTATATTTTATATCATTAACTCCAATATTAAATTTTATGACAAAAAAAAATCTCATTTTAAAGAGTTGAGGATCATTTTGGTCTCTCACAAAGAGTTGATGGACAATTTTGATCATTTTCTCAATTTAAATGAGAATTTAACTCTTAACAAAATATAATGGAGAAAAAAGAATCATGAGCCCGACCCCACATAGTGGGATAAAAGCTTGATATTATTGTTCTTATTCATGAGATGTCACTAAAATTCTGGAGACATTTTCTTATTCAATGGTAATTTATATTAAACTCCGATCAAGAAGCACTGCGATATTTAGCGTCTAAAAAAAAAATTAAATCGAAGATATGCTAAGTGAACATCTTTCCTGTAAAAATACACATTTCATCTTAAACACGTCACAGATGCCTTAAGCAGATGAGCCCACTTATTAGTAACTCTTCACTCAACTGTGATCTCCCTTGATTTTTTGAAAGATGGTTATGCCACAGACTATTACTGAGGCATTCTTATCAAGAGATGAGATTTTTCCACCATGAAAGAATTGATAGATTCAAGAATTTATATTTTATGAAATTTTACTTTTTTTTAATGCTATGTATTTTATTTTGTATTTCACAATGATGGAAAACAACTCATGATCATACTGGGTTCGGTGCTCTCAGGTTGGTTCACACCTTTTTCCTTCCACTTGTGTTGATCTTGCTTCATTGCTCCATGGTGACTTGTTGGGTATAGTAGCTGGTTCTCTATTGGGGAGGAGTTTTTGGAGAAATAAAATGTAAACCTGTGGGTTTCTTTTTAGCTTGCGAGCTAATCTTCTCCCTATTACATCCTCTCAGGTTTCTTTCTACTTCTTACCTCCACGGTTTTCTCTTCCACCAGTATTTTTGTTCTCTAAATATTGTGAGTTGTGTGGTGGTGTTGTGCCCTGTTCTGTTAGTATTTGCTTGAAGAGTGCAGCCTTATACTGGATCAAAATTTCAATGGTGGATCACTAGCTAGATCTTTCCTTTGAGCACATTTCTCTAATTTTGTGAGTTGCATGTGAGGTAACCAATTGTGATTGTTCTGACGGTTTTTATAGTTTATGTGTTTTTTATATTTTCTTTACGAGATTTCCTACTCATTTCTCACATTTGTTTCCTACTAAGTTCCTTTCTTTTGGTTTTTGCTTATGTTTTAGTGAAAGGAAGTTCTTAACTGTGTGCCTAGTGTTCTCCTAAAAAGTTTAAGACCCTAAGTTGCATCATCATATAAGGCTAGCAGTTTCACCTCCTCTCCAATTGAAAGTAATTGGAAGTAATTTGAGCTTTCTAAAAAAGAAACTCAAAGAAATAAGCTAAAGGGGCACACAATGTTGGATCTCTTGCCCTATAAACTCTATTGAATCTGCATATAAACAACAGAAAGGCAGCAATTTCAATATATGATCAACTAATCTTTTTAAGACATTATTTTGTCCACCTGCATTTATCTCTCTGGATTGAGGTGTTTCCTTTTTAAAATAGGCCAAAAAAATACCCTCATCAAAGTCACAGGAGTACAAAATAAGCCAACACAATTAATAAAATAATTCTAGTATAAATTTAGGATACCAAACCTGCCTCGTGTGACTCCCCTAACCATCAGCGTTCGGTTTCAATTCCCCTTGCATTTCCGCTATCATCTTTGACCTGTACTCATAGCGGTTGGCAAAGAACAGAAAAGCAGAGAAATTTATCACGCTCAGCACAGCCAGAAGCCAGTACAAGTAATCGAATCTTCCAGTATTTATGTTCTGTGATAACCAAGATGGGCGTCCTCCAGCCTCATTTCCTGTCACTGATCTTACAATGTTGTTTAATATGGTAGCAACAAAGCAGCCCAATCCTCCAGCAATGGCAGCATAAGCAGACCCAATACTCCTCATAGCATCAGGAGCCTCCTGATAAAGGAATTCAAGAAGACCGACAATGCAGAAGACCTCAGCTATTCCAATAAGACAGTATTGAATCAGCAACCAGTAAGCACTCAAACTAGGCATTTGAGTCAAGAAAAGAGCCTCGTATCCGTGTTTGATGGCATAGTTTCTTCGATACCTCTCGAAAAGACCAGCCCATGCTGCAGAGAGTATAGATACGGCAAGGCCAAGGCCAACTCTTTGAAGTTGGGATGCACCTTGAGGGTGCCCGGTGATTCTGCGGGTGAGTGGTGCAAAGGTAGAATAGTAGAGAGATAAGATGAGGAAGATACTGAGACCGGGGAACACAGGCATGCAGGTAACTGGGAGCTTTAGATGTCCCAGGTGGGTATTTAGCGTGTATGCTTGCTGGACTGAGAGGGTCAGGAACTCTGTCAGGATAACACTAAGCATTATTGTGCAGGCAGGAATAGGTAGAAGCTTTATAAGTGTCTTAACTTCCTCAACTTGAGTTACAGTGCAAAGTTTCCAGGGACTGGGTTCTACACCATCTTCCTTCAGTTGCAAAGCAGCCTTATCTAAACACCTTGAACATCCAAAATTTAAAAATAACAAAAGGAATTAGCATATTTATAAAAAACCATTTTCTTAGGGGTGTCAATTTTTGAGATGACCCGAAACCCGACCCGAACCTGGCCAGAAAATCCGGATTAGGGTCAACCCGAACCCGAAACGGGTCTAGTTCGGCAACCACTTTCAATTCAGCACTGGCTCAGTAGGAGACTTCAACAAATCAACCCATTTTAAAAACCGGGTCGGGTTCGGGTTGACCTAGCAACCCGAAATTGACACGAAAACTCGTATTTGCCCCGAAAACCCGAGATTGACCCATTTTGACCCGAAAATTGAAGATTGACCCTATTTTTTATCCGAAAACTAGCAATTTTGGGTCAACACCGGGTCATTCGTGTCGGGTCGGGTTTGGGTCCAAAAACCTGACTCATTTTTAAAAATACGGTCGATTCGGGTTGACCCGAATAGTGCCGGATCAGTTCCGGGTTCGACCCAAACCCTACCCGTTGACCCGAATTGACACCCCCTACATTTTCTCGATTGAAAAAGAACGGCCATAGTTCATGGGTGTATTAGGATTTAGGAAGGAAAGGCGTCAAATACCGGAATTCATCAGTATGTTCAATCTTGCCACTTCCTTTGATAGCAGATCTTCTGCCAGGGATTTCATACAGGCCTAGGAAGTCACTATGAGAGAAGGAAACATTTCTCTTTCTAGCAGCAGCAACCAAGACCTGCGCAACACGAGTAAGAGGACTGCCTCCAGGCAATCTATGCCGATAGAGGGGTGTGCCAACAAAGAAGATCACGTTTGAAATGCCCATTGCAATGGCCAAAGAACCAAAGGCAGAACCCCAGCCATATTTCATTTGAATATACACCACCATCGTGAAGGCCACAATTGCCCCAATGGTAACTGAAAGATAAAATAGGTTGAAGAATCGATCCAAGTGGGCCTTATAATCTCTACTTCTCTCATCGAACTGGTCTGCACCAAATGAAGAGACACAAGGCCTGATACCCGCAGCTCCAAAAGCTGTTATGTAAAGAACTGTATAAAGGTAAGTCATCTGCCATGGCTTGGGCTGCTCACAACTTCCAAGTAGTATGGACAACTGGTCACAATGGGATTGATTAGGCATGAAGACGCCCACTGTAGCAATTAAGGTTACTGCCGTCAAACCCTGTGATATTAAAGAAAAATAAAAAGATTAATATAAAAACCCTTTGAAGGAGGGCCATAAAAGTTTTATGATTCCTAAGCGTATGTAACTGATACGTCTGTTCATGTCTGGCAAGAGTGTTATATGATCCTTTATTTTCTCTCCCTTTTTTTGGCTTTATATCTATCAGATAGTAGTGTCCCTATATATCGTGTGTATTGCGTGATGTCAAATGTTTTGTTATGCTATTTAACATTTTTTTGTCATTCTAATTTTTCATTTATTTAAGTGAATATTTCAACAATCAAATATCATCAACAAAACAACATATACAAGGGGCTTAATTTTAAAAGTTCTTTTGCAATCATCTACATAAACAGTACTAAAAAATATGCAGTAAAAAACAATCCTTGATGTAAATCGATGAAAATCCTCAAGTCGCTCCAAAACAAATTTTAATATATATATATATATATATACGCACACTCAACGTATCTTTGACGCATTTTTATTCCTTAACAAGTATCAAATTAATTCTCATGGAGCTCAATCATACACCTTAAGGTCAATAAAAAATTATATGAAATTTTTTTTCTATTTATATTTTTCCAATAATTTTCCTCACCAAAAAAACCAATTGCCATAAGGAACCTTTCTAGCATGAAACCAATTTAGTTCACTAAATTTGATATAATTTGTAGAATTAGTCTTCAAATTTACCCAATATTCCATTAGCATCACAATGCATCTAATTTGATCAAAGTCTTTAGACTCCTATCTCTTGGCTTAGCTATTTATATATGACATTTTCTTCTTAGTACTAAACAAACATAGTTCTTAATGCTCTTAAGATATACATCCATCAATAATACTCTTTGTTGTGTGGTTAAACTCTCTACTAAAATCACATTACAATCTTTAAAAGAAGTTCTCATTTCTTAAATTGTGTTCATTATTGCAAGGTAACACCGTAACAGACTACTAATAAATTAAGTATAACTTCTCTCATTATATTTATAGTTTCCAATTCACATCAAGCAAGAATCTTCTCATAGTATATCCTACTAGAACCTATATGCCCTTTTGAATTACCTCCAATGAATATTATTTCTTCTTCAAATATAAGTGTTATTACTTTCTCCATCTCTTTCCAAATTTGATTTTTTAAATAATTCTATAATCCAATTTTAGGAGCATAAGAACTGCTCACACTCATAATGTTATCACCAATGATTATCTTAATGGTACTCACCATATTCACCTTCTTTCAACATCCATCAACTACTAACTCAATCTCTCGTATTATTACAACCTTCAATAACTTATTTTCTTCTCTAGTGTCCTTGAATTTTTTATTTTAACATTTAAATAATCTTTTTTTTTCTAATAATCAAACAATAGTTATTCTTCTTCTAATCATTGTGCCCATGAATTCACCAGCCAATCATCAAATAAAATTAATATAGCCTACTAGTACAACAAAACTTTGTTGTGGTTTTCTTGAACGAGTGAAAGCTAATAAATCATTCAAGTTTGAGTAGGCAAAACCATGGGAATGCAGCAAAGGCTTTTTAATCACAGGGTTTCTAGATTATTTTTAAGGGGTTCATCTGAAGTCGGGATAAATGGCCATATACTTTAGATATTTCAACGATAGCAATAGAAATCAATAGATTCAGAAATGGATGGTGACATCATTACGTGGTGCACTTAAAAAAAACAAAGAGTATAGTTTCCACCTTCCCTCTCCACCGAAGAACAATATCATCAAACATTGAAAAAAACATATGAAGTTGGCTGTACCAAATGTAAGTGAATAGTATCGTTCGGCACAACAAAAACTTCCAAATTCACTCAGTGAATAGTGCATTAATTTATGTGATGCATATGTGGGCATATGTGGGGTAAATTAAATAATGAATATTAATACTAAACATTGAAATATCATTTCTTTGTTTCCACTATACTAAACAGATAGGGTGATTCATCAGCTGGCATCCATGCATTATCTAATAATAATAAAAAGCATTACGCGAGTATGGAAAATACGGTTGTTTTAAAAATAGTAAATTAGAGTGAGGGAATAAGCTTCTACAACAGAACCACCAACCTAAACAGGCTAAAGATTGCAGTGTTGTTAAAGTAACATCCAAGCGTTCCAACATAACCTCAAGATAAAAGAGATGTTCACAATTAATTAATGACTAAAATGCAGTAAGAGCTCATAATAATTCTTACAATAAGATAGATTGTTGTGAATATCGCTATCGTCCAGTATCTACCAAGAAAGGCATCAGCAAGGAAACCACCAAGCACAGATGAAGCTTGTGATATCCCAAGGAAGTTGTTCACTGCATTAGCAGAGCTAGTAAATGGTCGGTGCATGACATAGAACATGAATGCCACCATATTCACCGACAGCCCAAAGTAGGCCATTCTCTCTGCCATCTCATTCCCTGAACAACACATCATGGAAGTAAACTGATTAACAATATGCAATCGAATTACTAAAAAGGTACTCAATGAGCAAGATCCCAAATCCATCACACAAAAATTTTCCAATAGCTTAGGTGGGCTAGCAAACTAAGGGGCTGTTCGATAGCAGGATTTAGGCCGGATTTGAGGTGGATTTGAGCGAAATCTAGCCAAACGGCCTAAAATGCAAAACCAAATCTCACGGCAAATGAAAGCCGCTGTAGATGGAAAATTTAGACTTTTCGTGCTAAATCATGGATTTCTGAAATTCCATCTTAGTCGGATCAACGAAATATGTTGGTTTGAGAGGAAGAGTCCGCTCGTTAAATCCGTTCTTGTGGGCTCCGAAAAATTCCATTTTAGGGTGTGTGATCCCGGGGGAATTTTCAGAAGGCAGATTGGGTTTTAGATAAGACACTACCCAGAGATTTCGCCCTCATTTGGTGAGGACTTTTTGATCTGAGTTCTGGTTTCCTATAGGCGCAAGCCCCTATAGTTAATTACCCCTCCCAATAACGAGAGAGAATTTACACTTTAAGAAATTTAGTTATTAAGGTTGCTTCCTATCAAAAAAATTTTGAAAAATAAAAAAAAAATTGTTCCAATAAACTATTTATAGTTGTTTGGAAAATAATCTTTTAAAAAAATTGTGATATTTGGAGTTGAATAAGATCATTTTTTATATCTGGAATTTGCTTTGTCGAGCCACAGCTTAACCGAGAGTTTATCAAAATTGAAGATCAAATGATCATAAATTTAATTCTATAAATTTAAAATTTAAATATGCATCAAGATTTATGTCCGGTTTGACGTATTATTTCTATAAATTTTCCTCCTATCCATTAAAATTTTGAAATTATTAAAAAAAAAATTTTTGATCCAATAAAATTATGGAATAATTTACCTCTTATAGACCCTTAATGCCCATTGAATCTCATAAAATTTAGGGTTTTTTTTTAATCAAAATAGTGTTTAGGGTGGCTAAAAAAGCTACTCAACTCAAAAGATCAAATCAAATTGAAAATTTTGATTAATTTGGTTTTAGTCTAATTTAGCTTTAATTTACACTTTTGTATGAGCTAATTGATCAGTTTGAGTTAGGTTTTTCAAATATTGAAAAGATTAAATTGAATCTAATCATGTTAATATATGATTATTTTTAGTCATCTAATTAAATATATATGATTAATCATAATTTAATAATTCATAAAATATTTTTTCTACTAATAATATATTTAAAAATTAAATCAATATCAAACCAATAAATCAATTTGAACTAAACCAAATGACTACAAATTCTATTTTTTTCTAATATCCAATCATAAATAAAATTTTGAATTGAATCATTTGGTTTGCTTTCACTTTCAATAATTCAATTTGTTTTCCATTTTTTGAATTAGGATAACCCCAACTAGGTCAAGCCTAGTTAAATTGACTTTAATTTAGTACTAATTGGGAACCTAGGTTAGTCTAAACTAACCCTTATTAAGCAACAATAAAGCTAATTTAACCTAATGCTTCTTTTTGTTAGTTAACTTACCCATGCCTAAAGCTGATCCAACCCATATCATAGTTAATGCTCATTGCTTAAAGTAAGCCAAACCATCACAAATTGGGCTCACCTTCGCCAAATCAAACCTAACTAAAGCCTAACATAACCTAATTAGATCTACATTAACCCAATATGAGTTCTTCCATAACCAGTATATCAAGCTTTGATTAGTCAACAATCAACTAAACCTGAGTTCAATTCCACTTACTTTTGATCGATATTAGCTCACTTAAAGTCGTGCAAGTCTAACTAACTTGGAGTTATAGCTTAATTTGAGCTTACCAATCATCCAAAGTTCAATTTGAGCTCAAATGGATGACCTCTAATCAAGTCACTTAGTTGGCAAGAAGCGGCCAAGGTGACAAAAAAAGTTGCTAATCACCTCCAACAATGTACCCTAGCACAACCCTCCCCATGGCCAAGGTCTAAAACTCATCTCTTCCCAACACCAAAACTTGAATCAATAGTACTCATGTCGATAGATTATTGATAAATCTTTAGTTTCTATCTCCATTTATAGGGGTGGACATCCTAGGCCTATAGTTCCCTTAGTGTCATTATCCTCTAAATTTCCCATTATCATCACTATTTTGATATGAGATCATCCGTTTTGAATTTAAATTGTATATTATATTGTCATTCTCTGCAATAAAAACCACTAAATTTATAGCATTTGAGAGCACTCTTACACATTTAAAAGCTTTCCTAGGTTTATAATGCCTATGCAAAATCATAGCTAACCTCTTAGCCTTTAATCACCAATAATAGAGCTAAATGGCTCCTATGGACACACCAACACCTTTGGCGGGTAGTGCAAGCAAACTACTCATGGCTCTAGTGAAGTTCCATGAGAGTAGGCTAAGAAAACCCTCAACATTAAAACTTTATTAATTATTATAGCACAATAACATGTCTATCGACAAGTCATATCATCTTCAACAATTCCTAAATCAAGAACAAAGTAAATATTTTCATACCCCCTGGCCTAGTCTAATAGCGCTCCACTACTTAATTTCATGTATCTATTATACATATATCCTATAGATAGCAATGTCTATAAGGTTTTGTTTGGGACGGTTTTTTATTGCTTCTTAAAACGGAGTTTTAACTAAAATTTCATTTTAAGAAGCAATAAAAAAGTTGTCCTAAACAAAACTTAAATCTCTTTATTATAGTGGTGAAACTTATATGCTTTAGTTTGAAAACCTAAAGTGAAGTAGAAGACGATGAAACAATCATTTGATTAGTATCAAATTGCATATATCAAACCAAATAATGTATAATTCTACTGAATTCAATTATGATAATCCTATGATTAATCCTTGGTAATTGAATCTTAATACAATGGATAATGCATTTTTGTTTTGATCCCACCCACCTATCTACATCACTAGCATAATGGGCTATATGGATGAATGGTATGATGATAATGTATTTAATATCAATAATAATGATTAGTCTCAATCAATCCATTATAAAGGGAACTTGGCCTAATGAATTTGATGATGACTAATACAATTTGAATGTGATGTTAGAAAGAAATAGATGTGGGGGTGCTTCTTTTTTTCTTTTTTTTTTTCTAAGTCCACAAAGGATCAATTAAGATATTGTGTTTTGTCTTGTATTATATATTTTTGGCAAGTTTGTTGAAGGATGTGACCAATGATTTGCTCATCTAGGCATTTATCATGTTGATGTTAATTTTTGAATGCTCCTTCATTCATGCTTTAGTGAAGTTGTTGGCGGTGGAAGCCTTTGTTTGACTATAGGCTTTATGTGAATTTAATTATACCCATTGTTTTGAAAGTCGGATCAGACCGATCGATTCGACTTGTTATACAGGGAACCAGTTCACAAAACCATTCCAGCATGACAGGGAATTGGTTGGCCAACCGGTTTGAATTTTCTCTAAATTTGACTTCGCATTGAACAAGATAAAACCCATTTGGTCCCAATTTTTAAGAACCGGTTTATATATTTATATATGAACTAAACTTCTATTAAATATGAATTCAAATCTATGATTAGGGCTTATCATTTAAATATTTTTAATATTTATTATATCATCCAATTCAATTGCGATTAAATCCGATGAAACATCACCAAATTAAATTAAAAAAAACTTCAAATATTTAGTTCTATCATCAGACTAGTGAAATAAGCATCAACTTAACTCAGAGAAATTATTAGGTGCGGAGTCCAAATATAGCTTTTCGTCCGGACTCCGCAAATAATAATTTGTCCTTTACTATATAGTTCTTTGGCTTGTTGAATAAGCGACTCATTCACATGGAGAGAACAGTCCAACCTTCATGCCATTCAATTTTGAAATCAAGATGTTGAGCAATGGAGAGCACTTTTTCTGTTTAATTTAGCTTATAGAAACTAACAAACCAAGATATATTCTCAGCTTTAGAATGTTAGATTACCTGAAGGAATTCAAAATCAGTAAGAAAGCGGTAAGAAAGCCTTTGGCTTAGTTTAGGGACAGTTTTTTTACTGCTTCTTAAAGCAGTTTTTAAATATAAAAATTAAATATGTGTACTTAAAAACTGCTCTAAGAAGCAGTAAGAAAGCCGTCACAAACGAACTCTTAGGTTTCGTTTGGGACGGCTTTTTTATTGCTTTTTAAAATGGAGTTGTAGTACAAATTTTTTAATTTTTGTACTAAAACTCCGTTTTTAAAAGCAATAAAAAAGTCGTCCCAAACGAAGCCTTAATCTATCTCATGAAAAATTCTTTCAATCCCAATTAATCAACTCTTTATACAAAAACAAAAGAACCTTTCATAGCCCAAAGCCTTCTACTTGTTATTGAACTATAACACAAAACTATGTGCATACACTATCAATATATTTAAAAAGGAACACAGTCAATAATATTTTTTTTCTTCATTGTTATATTTCCATTCAATACACAAAATTTTAATCCTTCTTGTTCTGATTCAACGCACAGAGATTCATCACATTATGCTATAAATTGGCTTACAAATACTTAAAAAAAACTTATTACAATCAAACTCTACAAAGAACAACTGAAACAAATTGACATGGAAATACCTTTAAGCTTTTGTTAGAATGTTCACCTCACGCACTTCTATTGTTCAAATATTCCCTTTACATAGATCATACCTTTCTCACTGAGCTGTAGCTCCTTCCTCATCTGCTCCACTTGCTGATCATCCCCACGCACAATGATCTCAGAAAGGTTTCCTTCATTACCTACTATAATCTTCACCTTTATCTCCTCTTTCCTTGATGCCCGTTGCCAGTAATAAACTCCCCTGATCCATGAAACAGTGCGACAACTCAGTCAGCCATTGATGAGCTTTACAAAAAGCTTCAATAAGAAAAGCGATTACCTACCAAAAAGCTCTTTTTCAAACGGTATACTATCTGATTGTTAAGATTGAGGTCACAGATTTTAGTCTAATCTATTAATAGATCTTCAGAGAATTAAAAATTGTAATTTTTTTCCTGTATGACAAATACTAACTTTTGTTGAATTTTAATAAATCGTTGGGTCATTTGTTTGCTGCAAACAAATAAGATTTGATAAATCATGTAAATCAAAATTTAGTAAATCTTGCCAGGATTAAAATCTAAAAATTATTTGGCATTCCAACTACTAAATCTGAAAGTATCCTACTTTCAATCAGTAAAATTATTTTGGCATTACAAATACCTGGCTTGGTTAAAATCTTGTCAATGTCACATGTCTTTGTTTGAGACGGCTTTCTTGCTGGTTCTTAAAATGATTTTTTAGTACAAAAATTTTAATTTTTGTATTAAAAAATAGCTTTAAGAAGCAGTAAAAAGGTCATCCCAAATGCCGGAGAAATTATTAGGTGCGAAGTGCGGACGTAGAGATACGTCCATACTCCAATAAAATGTTGACACGTGGTGTGGACACGTGGATATTCAAATAGATTTATTTTTTACTTTATATATTTAATGTGTTCGTGAAACTTTAAGCCAAACACACTAAAAGCTCAACGAAAGTATAGATAAAACGTAGTCAAAGCGCAATAAAAAAGCACAACAAAAGAACAGTCAAAACGCAACTAAAACACAAGCATATTGCAACCAAAGTGCACTCAACCTGTCACATTTTAAAGTGCACTCCGACCCTAATAATTTCTCCTCAAACGGAGCATAAATCTTATCTAGATAAAATTTATATGTTATCAGTCATCATTCCAAAAAAATATATAAATATTAAAAATAAAATCAAAAGAAGGGAAGCCATTGGCTTACGCGAGTGGGCTTAGCGCCATGAGCCAGAACCAGTTGTTGCCTCCCTCCGGAATGGCAATGGAGAGGACGAGGCCGACGCTTGCAAGGCTAATGCAGGTGCAGAAAGTGAGAAGCGCTGCCTGGCCTCTGCTTGGCACCATCATTCCTTCAAACCTTTCGTCGAACACATTGCAGGCATGATATTTATTAGCCATCAAATGTTTCAACAAAGTATAGAGATATAAAGAGAACGAGAAAGAGAGAGATACGTGATGGTCTCGCCTCGGTCGGAGATGGTGAAATTATTGCGAGTGAAGAACGAAAGGATCTCCCCAGCCACTTGATTTGCCCTAGTAGCTCCTTCTTTCACAAAACTCTTCTGCACTATCTGAAATTTTCGAAATCCCCCCAACAAAAACATAAAGCTCCAAATCAATGAATGATTCCACTACAATTGGTTTCAATTTAGGAAGAGAGAGAGAGAGAGAGAGAGAGAGAGAGAGAGA